AAGACGTCTCCCTGGTCATGTGGCTGGCATGACTCAATGCTGAAGGCGCACGGAACGCTGTGACCTTCCCACCAAAAGTGGTCCCTGTTTTTCTACTTGCATTTTTCAAACTGCTAGGTTGGCAGAAGCTGGCACAAATCATGGGAGCTCACTCCATTACACGACGCTGGGGATTCGAACCACCAAACGCCTACCTTTCTGATCGACAAGTTCGGTGTCTTAGCCACTGAGCCATCGCGTCCCATTCACCTGGCAACTAAGAGGCATAAAAAAAAATAGGGAAAGCATCCTTCTTAGTGGAATGGAAGCTGCTAAGAAGGTTGGAGGGTTGATGGCCAGGAAGGCTGGAGATCTGGTAGGACAAACCTCTCAAAAGGCTTCCATGCCAGCTTCCAACGCACGGTTCTACAGAGTCCCCCTCATCGTTCTCCTTCATCTCACATCTGCAAGTTTGTTTCTCCTCTGCATCATCAGCCGGTGTCGCGAAGCCGATAATTGGCGAGGGAAGGCGATGGAGAAAGGCAGCGTGTAAAAATAAAAGGAAGTGCCAGAAGTCATCTTAAAAATAGACATTTCAGCTGGCAGCGTCAAGTGTTCTCCCCCAGAGTTGTGAGAGGAGAATGATAAAATACAGTTTCTCTGGCAGAAAATTAAGAGAGGCTGTAATGATTCCCTGGGCGCTTCGGAGGAAGGAAGTGGTGTGAGCACTCACAGTGTGACTGTATCAAGTCTTGTCCCGAGGAAGCATGCCCAAGGGATCAAGATCAAAGTATTTATCAACCTACTCAAAATAAATGTTCTGACCAGTGGTGGGATTCAAATAATTTGACAACTGGTTCTCTGCCCTAATGACCAGCTGGGTAGGTGGGCCTCGGTGGTCATTTGACTGGGTGGGCATGGCCAACTCATCACTCACATCGATGGGCACTTCACCTTAGCTGTTACAATGGTAATAAGGGTTAACTAGAGAGGGAGTTTCTGTAAGCAGGTCAATAAAGATGAGGCTAGAAACAACACCAGAATGTTTCCTTCCTGCCTTCCTTACAGGATTAGCCCTGCAAAGTGGAAAAAAACANCCTGTTAAGAGTTTGAGAATGAGCATGCAATCTCAAAAAGACTCCATGGCTTTTGCTGAGTTTCCAAATCCCATCCTGTTTAAAAAGAATTCAGTAGCTTTAGTTGTCAGACTCAGGGTGGCAAAGCAGATATTTCGATATCTCTGTTGTGGCCCGCCAGCAGCCAGCGGAGGACTCTGATGAGGGCTCTGTGTCGGAGGCAGAGAGGGGGCCAGGGCCGTATGCCAGTTATTGGCTGCCTTCGGAGTTGGAGATCAATGAGGCAGAAGAACAGCTGGAGCCTGTTCCCAGTGTGCACAAGTGCAGAGCTGCCAGGATAAGGGAACTGCTAAAGAACAGAGGTCGACTTGAGAGTGAGGTCACAGGTGGATGATGAATGGCCCCTCCCAGAGGCAATAAAAGAAGAGCGAAAGGGGAGTAGGGTTTGCAGGAGACAATTTGTTCACTTAATTGCTTTCCGAGACTCCTTGCCAAGTTCTGCAGAGATTGGCCTGGCACTCTCCAAGCCAGATAAGGTCTGTGACCGTAAATCCTCCCTCGAAAGACTTTGCTGAATGTGAATGAGCAGAAATAAAAAAGGGTTTTTTGTTGGGACCAGGAGTTTGCTTCATGGTCTCGGGAAGTCTCGGTCAGAATACCAGTTGGGCCAGGAAACTAAGCTGAGTAATGGGAAGGGAATTTGGG